CGTTAGGGGCCAGGAGACAGAGAGAGAGCGGGTCCATTGGCTAGGTCGGCCTTGATTGGTTGGACACCGTGCGGGTGGACAGTGTGTAGGTGGATAACGTATGGCTCGACACCGTTGATAGACATCGTGGGTGGCATGTGTCTCGCAGCAGTCGCAACGACCTTGAGGTCCAGACAGATTGTGATCACGAGAGGAAAGCCAGACAACGAGTAGGCAACGACCCACTACAGTCTGCCTCATTTCGACCGCCTACCACGGCTAGATGCTTTAGCTGAAAATAGTGAAATAAATATACGTATACCGCCTCGTTTGTGAACCCTTTCTCGGTACTTAGCCGATGAAATTAAGTCGCCATAAGTAGCCTTCCACCGTGCACAGTGGGAAGTTCGGGGATGAAGACTCGACATTGGCGGTGGTCGGATTCCTCTCCAATGTGCTAACGACATTCACCAGTTTTGCCTGTATCGGTTGCATACTGCGGTTGAAAGGAAGCAACTGCTCAACCAAGAAGTCGTCTCTTTTCCTATCAGACTGTGAAGAAAATCGTTAATGGACTTGCTCGAGGGACGCTAACTGTGCATTCATGTCGGTCAACAGTACACTTACATTTGTTACCTGAACGGTCATCGCCACCATTTGGTCTTTAACATCGGCTATAGCCTTGTACACCTGTTGGCAACACATAGCTTCCACAGATGACAAGAAAGCAGGCGCCGGCATCGCCATAGACAGCCTTAAGTAATTAATAATAAATGGAGCTACCGAATCGAGGCTGGTTGAGGGGGTTGCTTCGGCCTACTTGAACATGATTTAAAAAGATGAGGCATATCGGCCTGGCTATTGAACCTACAAAATATCGTCGACAATTAGGCTTACCGTAATCTTTTGAATGAAGTTGGTCAACCAGCCGGCTGTGTCGGTCTATACTGGTAATAGTGATCGTCCGCTGAGTCAAACATAAATCTGCGCACAATTCTACAAAAGAATATTAACGGTATGTACCATATAGGATGCTGCCAATGCTCCAATGCATTGGAGAAATGCATTGCTCCTGCCTAATTTGTGCGGCTCGCAGCTAGAGATGTTTTCATTCGTCTTCGCGCACCATCTCGTGCCTGATGCAGTATCAGCTTGCATTCCACTACCCTCTCTATGCACAACTTCGTAGCCTATGGTGGTTGCTGGTTGGTCTCCAACAGCCTTGCCTATAGTCTTCTTGGGCAACATTTGGCTGCCAGTGTTGAAAAACCAGGCCGCAGCCACCGTCTCAACAATTTTATCGTTAGCAAATCCCACAACGGAGTACATGCCTTAGGGCCTGTGCCACCTAAGTCGTACATTCCATGAGCATGTGTTTGACGTAATTGACAGTGCGAAAACAGATCAATTATTAATTGGCAGTGGGCAGTAGAGGAATAAGAGAAAGTTGGCCGTCAATATTAGAGGAAATCTATTTACAAATGATA